ACACACACACACACACACACACACACACACACACACACACATATATATATTATATATATATATATATATATAATATATACAGGGTTACAGGTTAAGTCGACCTGAATCCTTTAAGGGGTAATAGTTTGCATCATTTCTGACTAATTTCACTATGAAACACCATACCCCAAACTGAACCGTTCTCATGTTATAGGACTTTGAAGTTTTTTTTAAAAAAAGTCCAATTTTTTTTTATAATGTCCCATTTTTTGTGTCTTGTGCTTGTTATCATTTCGTTTTTGGTATTTTTGTGTAGTAGATTAATAGATTTATTACTCAAAATACCAAATTTGCAAGTAATTGTACCAACCGCGCCGTAGTAGACGAGTTTTTGTTAAAAATAAATAAATAAATTGCTTTTTTTTAAATTCTTCCTTAGATATTGAAAAAAAAGTCTATGACAGTTGTGCTGCAGATGTGCTTAAAAATATCTACGGTTCTTTAGCTTTCTAAAAAGGTATCACAAGCTAGATTATTATTAGAATGCCTAGACAAAAAGTTTGATGAAAGGCAGGTAGTAGTAAACTTTTAAATTTAACTTGGGTCAGAAAACAATACAAATGGTAACAATTAAATACTTTATTTATTTTTTAACAGGAAGCCTATAATAAATGTTCCACATGTTGACCTCTGTTTCGCACACATACTCGCATTCTGTGTCTTAAGCCACTTTTCACTACACTCGTGGTTAGGATTCTTCTAATTTCGTTTGCGGCATCAATAATTTTTTGTCTCAAAACATCGACGGATATTATTGGGTTTGTATCATTGTACACCAAACTTTTCATGTGTCCCCAAACATAAAAATCCATGGGAGTCAAGTCTGGACTCCTAGCTGGCCATGGAGTGGGTCCGCCTCTTCCGATCCATTTGTTTGGGTAATTAGTGTCTAGCCACTCTCTGACACTTCTTCTGTAGTGTGCGGGGCATCCGTCGTGTTGGAACCACATGTCTCGTATAAGGTCAAGTGGTATATCGTCGAGTAAATCAGATAGATCTTGTCTCAAAAAGTTTTCATATGTTTCTCCATACAAACGTTCAGGCAGAAAGAAAGGCCCAATTAAATAGTTGGAAACTATTCCCATCCACACGTTGAGGCTGAATCGTCTTTGTGATCCCTTTACCTGCTTTTTATTGGGATTTAATTGTGCCTTCGGAGACCAATAATGAAGGTTATGATAATTGGTAATGCCATCTTGATCAAATTTTGACTCATCTGTCCATAAGATTCTTCTCAAAAATTCAGGATCGTCCAAATCGGCGTGCAGCATAAATCGGCAGAAATCCAGCCTTCTCACAGGATCTCCTTCTTCGATATGATGTACTGGCGTGTAGTGATAGGGGTAGAGACCGGCAGTATGCACCGTATGCCACACTTTCCATTGTGAGAGTCCAAGTTCTCGGGCAATAATATTGGTTGAAGTAGTTGGATCCCGGCGAAACCGTCGAACTATCTCATTATCCTGTTCTTCATCATCATCATTAACACGTGGTCTACCTAGGTCTGTTCGTCTTCTCAAAACAGAGCCAGTCTCTCTAAGTCGTCGGTAAACTCCCTCGAATACACTAATATCCGGTACTCGGCGGCCGGGATAACGTGTTATGTACTCATTACGAGCTCGTAGGGATACACAATTGCAGTACCCGTAACAAATTAACATATCGGCATATTCTTCATTCGTGTAGGTCGTCATCTTCAACAGTTCCAAATCAGAAGCACAAATCAAAGTCCAGTAAACAAGCACAGTCACGAATAGGAAGAAACAGTCCAGGAAAACAAGCCAAGTCGAGTAAAAAACGAAGAGCACTGAATATCGCATCTACAACGGACGAATCGCGTAAGCAGACTAACCAAACACAATAACAAAATGAGTCTGCTCACCGCAATCCCTTAAAGGACAATAGGCGCAGGTAGTAACTTAACGGTACCCCTATTGTTTACTACTCTACCTGGTAGCTTTTCATCCAACTTTTTGTCTAGGCATTCTAATAATAACCTAGCTTGTAATACCTTTTTGGAAAGCTAAAGAACCGTAGATATTTTTAAGTACATCTGCAGCACAACTGTCATAGACTTTTTTTTCAATATCTAAGGAAGAATTTAAAAAAATAGCAATTTATTTATTTATTTTTAACAAAAACTCGTCTACTACGGCGCGGTTGGTACAATTACTTGCAAATTTGGTATTTTGAGTACTAAATCTATTAATCTACTACACAAAAATACCAAAAACGAAATGATAACAAGCACAAGACACAAAAAATGGGACATTATAAAAAAAAATTGGACTTTTTTAAAAAAAAACTTCAAAGTCCTATAAC